TGTTTTTCATTTTCAGATCTTGTTTTCTTCACCCATCGTTATGGCTACTAAGAAAAGAAAAGTAGATGCTGAGTGTCGCCTTTTCAATGAAGAATGTGGAGAAAAGTACTTCTTTGTGGAAACAAACAACCAAAAAGCTAGTTGCATGATATGCAACGAAAGTGTTGCCGTTTTTAAAGAGTACAATCTTCGGCGTCACTATGAAACAAAACATCTGTCAACATATTCGAAGTTTTCTGGAAAGTTGCGTTCTGAGAAATGTACAAGATACAAAATAGTGCATAAGATGGCAGAGCGAGGAAAACCGTTTACTGACGGCAACTTCATCAAAGAGTGTATGATGGAAGCAGCAAATGACTTGTGTCCTGAGAAAGCCGATTTGTTTGGAAGTATCAGTCTTTCAGCAAGTTCAGTTGTGCGGAGAACAGAAGAACTTGGAGAGAACATAGTGTTACAGATACGCGAGAAAGCTAGGAACTTCTTGTGGTATTCTCTGGTGCTGGATGAGTCTACTGATTTCTCGAGTACGTCACAACTTCTCATGTTCATTCGTGGTGTTAATTTGGACTTTCAGATCACAGAAGAGTTGGCATCCGTTTGCAGCATGCACGTAACAACAACTGGAGAAGATATTTTCATGGAAGTTCAGAGTGGAATCAGCTTGTAACCTTGATGACGTGCCAGTTGAACTACAGTTGGAGCTCATTGATTTGCAAGCAAATGATGTGTTGAAAGAGAAGCACAGAGAAGGAAAACTTGTTGAATTTTATCTCTGCTTACCTGATAATGAGTTATCAAAGTTGAAGAAATTTGCCTCTGGTATGGCATCAGTATTTGGAACAACTTATGTCTGTGAGCAAACATTTTCAAAAATGAAGTATGTGAAGTCAGCACATCGAACGAGGTTGATTGATGAACATTGGAAAACAATTCTCTTGGTTGGATGCAGCAATTCCAAAGCAAATGTTGATGATATCTCAAAAGCTAAACGCCATTTTCACAAATCTCACTAACCTTTTTTTGCTGCTTAGTTTCTGAGATTCGGATACGTGCGCACTGGGTGTGATATAACTATCTTATTGCTAACGTCGCCTTCTTTGATAACTTTTTGGTAAATAAACCTGCTTGTTGTCTTTATTTTTTGTGTATTCACTGTACTGTATTGAGCAAAATGGTTATGCGGCCCGCGCTCGTCATTCTTTCAGTTATCTGGCCCGCTGTGAAAAAAGTTTGGTGACCCCTGGTCTACATCGTGAAGAATATAACCCGAGATACTTAACGTTGCTTTTAGAGAGTTTCGGTTTTTCTATTTTGAACACGTCTATTATTAACATTGCCACATTCATATACCTTCCTCAAAGTTTTACTTACAGCTTCTCCCAAAACATGACAAACACAATTTTGCGTGTAGAGTATTATTTTTAGCATCAAAAACTCTAATTTCTGTATGTTTATCATGCTGTATTTTAGTCCTAAAAGTTAAGACTACGTTTACACTGCTACTGTTGAGCAAAGTAAGAGTTCTTGTACTTTTATAGGGTTTATTGTGATGTAGCACTTTCTAATTGGTTCAATAACAACCAGTCACAGTGTAAACTGTCAACACATGGCAGTAAACGGGAATGGTACATTTTCACATGATAAAAAAGTGGAATTCCATAACTGTTTCCAATATTTTATATACAAAATTACTGGGAATTTGCCCAGCAATTGAGAACGTTATATTCGACACATATTTATGTAAATCTCATAATAAGAAGATATAAACAACAATCATAAAGATTCTTACCAATGACTGATGAAAAGAACTCCGGTGCGGAACTACCAATCGCCATAAAGCTGGCTCCAGCAACATCCGACGGAATTTGCATAGCTAGATAGTTAAACAAAAAATGAACACTTTCAGATTCAATTCAAAACATAATTGTTACAAGCTCCATATGAAATGAACTTAATCCAAGATTCTGTATTCTACTATTCTGACAGTATCTTTACTGACTTTGGTTTATGTGGACTCAATAGATTGCTATATGAGTCGAGGGGTGATGAAATTATATTAAACAAAAAGCTATAAAGATGAGCAGTAATACATAAAGTGACCGAAGTGAAAAATAGACTTGTTATTTTTAGCATTATTAACTATAACTTTATAGAGATAAAAGTTTCAGAATCGAGATGTTAAGTTATTGTACTTCATATCCTTTAGTTTATGTACATACCGTCACAAAGGATCTCCAGCGAAGGGACAAAATAGTCATCACAAATGATGGCCAACATCCCGCAGAAATAAGCTGCTATTAAAAAATGAATAACGACTCCACCTCTTAGTCTCTCACTTTGTGTGAAAAAATCATCTGGAAAGTCCTGGATAGATGGAGGTATGCAGTCAGGAAATGAATCCTCCTCCGTCTGCAACAGTTTCCTTCCTAAAAATGCCATCACAATAAACATATATAGATTGTTTGTAGTTATGCACAAAGCTACACAATGGGCTATCTGTGCTCTGCCCATCACGGGTATCAAAACCCGGTTTCTAGCATTGTAAGTCCGTAGACATACCGCTGTGCCACAGGGGAGAACATATATAGATGCCAATGGGCCACATTTCTCAGGTACATTTCACATTTCTTAACATTGCAGTTTGTGCCTTAATTTGTCTTTATTTTATATTTAATGTTTTATGTTCCTGACATAGTTGTTCAAATAGTATTTCAAAATCACGAGGTAAACTAGCTAAACTCTTGCCCACCCCACAAATTACAATTTTACAAATACTGGAATATAAATGTATATATATGTGCATATAGTAAAGTAGAGGATGCGTTGAATAGCGAGTGATAGTGTAATAACTATTACACTTAAAGCTGGAATACATTATTGTAGATAATGTGCGGAATATTATAATACATGTTTTTATTAAATTAACACTGTCTGGCCCGCTGAGTGTCGTTTAATTAAGCATCCTATTTCTACGCTGCTTGAATATTGATTATTTCATTTTTCTCTAAACTTTTATTTTATCAACAACTCTGATATATTTTTAAATAAATCTCTTGATTTACAACAACGTCTTACAGGGTTCAGGCCAGTTCGAGAGATTTAAGGTAGTCCCAAATCCCGGTTATTAAACTAACAAGGTAAATCAATCTATTGATGTAATCTTAACTTAAAATATTATTCAAATTTACTTTTCACAATAAACCAATGCGATTGAATGAAGAAACTACAAAGGAAATTAGAACAAATTATTATTCGCAAAACATAAAAATTAATTTACTTGCGATTAAGATACACCCAGCTTATTAATACATGATAATAAATATATTTACTAAAAAGTCAGAAGTAGTAGTTCAACGTGACACCGAAATAGAAGTTACTTACTTACTTTTGTTAAAGTCTTGTGAAAGGGACCACATGTCTGAGGCAAGAAATGTTTTTATTTAGCAGTAGCAGCGTTACCCGGCGTTGCCTGAGTTTTCGAGAAAAAAAACCTGCGCTCCCGTTCCATATTTCGATAGGTAAAAAAAACAGCTAAACCAAAACAGATAATTAAGCACTACCTAGAAATATACCTAAAAAATACCTAGTTAGATAGGCTGTAAAAGTTATGATACATTTTATCTATATACTGACAAGTAGAGGACTTGGGCTACAAAAAAGCTGGCAGGAGCAATATAATTTTATTGTTCATCGAAACTTTGGAAATTTACATTTTTCTTATATAATTAAACTGATTCATGAAGTCCAATGTAAAAAGGCCGGGCAACGGCGTTGTTGCTCTATGATTTTCATTCATGGGTGCGCTATAAGAGTGATGGTCAAGTCCCAATGATCTGTCAAACAAGAGTATTCCAAGAGTTGGCTATGCGTACTGTTAAATTCCCTCTAGTCTATTAGTTCAAAATTATGGTGACTAAGAAAAGATAGCCCTTTGTGTATATTAATTTGCACAAAAAGTATAAAAAACAAATGTTAGCCGGAAAATGGATTTGAATCTATTCAATATTGTGGAGAGGTATCAGAAGTGTAAGTTGCATAAGATTTAAAATGTAATGAAGCAACTAACAAAAAAACACTACACTGCTGCATATCTCATATATCAGCAACAAATTAACTAAGATTTGTCAAAAAACTTATAACCGAACGTAACATTCCAATAAACACTAAACATTCAAATAACCTTGTATCAAACTAAAATCTATACTAAGTAAAAACTTCTCTGACAAATATAATACTAACATCATTTATATAATACAATGGAACATCTGCCATGATCAGGAATGTCGAGAGCCAGCATGGCCCCGGGGCAAACATCCTCGCCTGGCATCCTTTCTAGTTTTTTAACATTTTCAAGAATTTATTAAAAAGAAGATCCTAAATTAGGACAGCAACGAGCTCATTAACCAGACAAAATCATAGCAGCAGCCGTTTTTATCTCACAGTATACGCATAAAAACGTTAATAAAGTAACAACAAATATCTATTAAATCTATAAAGTAACAAACACATATTAATTATTACTCAAATTATTATTTCAGTCGTTCTTAATGTATCAAGCATCTATATGTAAAGAAAAGCCAAAAACTATGGTTTTTATCATTAAATGAAGATATAGCCTAAAGATTCTTTGCAGGCTTTACGGCATAACTACGTTTCATTCGCCCGGGCCCCTGACCAGTTGCCCCCTTTGCCCCCCCCCCGTCGGCCATGATTTATATATCGGAGAAACAAGCCAAAAAATGGAAACTAGATCCAATAAACAAAAACAACCACCCTCCCATGTTTTTGAACACCGTTTCTCAGATATAACCATAGAAAACACTAACGTATTAAGCAAAATTACGAAATTCAAATATTGTACACGAAAGATTAAAGAAGTTACTCTAATACAACAACTTAAGCCCACATTGAACCAAAACCAAGGAACACTACTATACCTATATTAATTATTTCTTTAAGTGTGTTCACACATGATCTTGGATTTTTAACTACTATATATATTTGTTTGTTTGGAATTAAGCACAAAGCTACACAATGGGCTATCTGTGCACTGCCAAACACGGGTATCGAAACCCGGTTTCTAGCTTTGTAAGTCCGCAGACATACCGCTGAGCCACTGGGAGCATATATATATATTTGAATGTAATGAATATTTCTAAGATTGATTAAAACATTACTATGGTTGGCGCTAGCAAGAAATACGACATTCTGGAAAACTGTCTTTCATGAATGAGTGACCAAACTCTGTATATTTTGGAAAGTTATATATATATATATATAT